ACAAATCTTTTGATACGATTTAGCATTGCATTTCTTGTGTTTTAAAATTTTAAATTGATTTTTATTTTACAATTTTGAAATAGAAGTATCAGTTAGTATTTTTCAAATTCAAGTCCATTTTAAATCTATAGAAAATTGATATCCATAAAGATATAACACCCAAAAAACCGTCTTTTTTAATTTATATTTTAACCATTAATGTTATTTTTTTTAAATAAATCAGTTTCTCTACGTAAACTCTTTTTCAGGTCTAAGATCTGGATTTTTAACAAATTTTTGAATAATCTTTTAAGTCAATTTTAGATTAATAAAAACTGATTTTTCTATTCAGTTTTTTTACGTTTGGATTCTTCTTTTCTGATGTATAAGCTCCTGCAGTCTGTAATCAAATAATTTTCTTAATAAAAATTTGTGAAATAATAAACCCAGGAAACGTAAAGGTTTTTTTTATTAAAAATTACATTTTTGAGAAAATTGCAAGAATAAACAATTTTTTGTCAACAAAACAACTGAAGTTCAAGCAAGTACCATGGGAACCACAATTTTCGGTCAAACTAAGTACCGTTGTGTGAAACCTGAGACAAAACCTAAATTATTCACATTCGATGGATAATTTCCATTTTCGGTCCAATTTCATGCTCAATCCTTAGAAATTTTCCTCGAAAAATGAAGAATTTTGATAAAGAACACGTGTCATGGCCACGCATGACTTATCCGGATTTGTCATTAAAGATGGTCGAGGTCGTTGTAGCGGTTTTGGGAAATTAAAATTCATTGTTGGTTTGAAGAGAATAGAAAATGTTGTAACACTTGGTGTTATGGAGTTACCTCTGGGTAATTATTTACTGATTGAGTGGTGTGTAGGTGCGTGGTAATTAGGGTCACATTGTGGCCCTCAAGGTCAAGGAAATGATGAAAGTGACGATGACTAAGATCTAATTAATAATTAATGAAAGATTTTTCCGATGATAACACATAACACACATAATAGAGTATGAAATTTTGATAGATTAATCGATAAGTTAGACAAAAAAATATGGTATATGGCCTGAAAAATTTGCTTTTGAATCCTGGAGAACGGTTGATCAATATTTTAGAAAATTCATAGTTTAAATTTTTATTTGTAAAAAAATCGAAACAAATATATTTATGTATAACCTTTTATCAGCTTTTAATATCATATCAAATTACAAAAAAATACAAAATAGTAGAAAAAAAAGTTTAATTTATCTAGATATAGTTTTAAAGTCTTCTAACATGTTATCAACTAGCTCTCGGTAATTTTCAACTTTCTTATACCCTAAAAATTTAAAAACTACTCCTTTAAAACTGTTCCAACTTTTTTGTTGAGCACTGGTAAATATTTTTGGAAATTCTTCACTGGCAAAAAGTTTTTTTTTATTTGTGGATCAACAAAAATTCCTTTGCTTTACCTTTGCTTCTGACAACTTTGGAAAGAAGTTTTTTAAAAATGTAAAAGATTCAGATCTTTCATCTAGTTTTTTTACGAAATGTTTCATAAGGCCTAACTTGATGTGTAAAGGCAGCATTAATACATTTTCAGGATCAGCAATAGGTTCACATTTAATGTTTAGTTTCCCAATACAAAATTCAGTTCTTAGTTCCTGTAAAATTTTTTAAATGTTAATTATACATTTAAAAAAAACGTTAGTAAATATAATCTAATGATAACGTTAAAAAACTTTAACATTTCTTACGTCAATATATTATTAAAATAAAAGGTTATACTAACGTTAGACAGTGGCATAAATGCCGAATCAAAATTTTTTAAACGTTAATTAAACGTTCAAAACAAACGTTAGTAAATATAATCAAA